CCTCCCTGCCATTTGGTCCAGCCTGTGGACATGTGAGAATCTATGTCTGTTGTGTGTGGCGTGTGAACGTGTGGAACTTTTGCACAGGGAATTGTGTGAAGAGATGTGTTCTCCTATGGACTGGTGAGTAGGATGTGTGCACATGTGTAGACGAATCCCCCCCCCAGGGTCTCTGATGTATTTGCATGCTGGGGCACATCTGTTTGCCTGCGAGTCTGGGTTTGTGAGTGTATATCTGTGTGCTCATGACGGGCTTTGAGTCCTGTTGAGTGTGAGCATGGATTGTGAGCCCTCAGAGATGTTCACACACCCGAATGTAAACATGTACATTCCTGAGTGCACAGGCCTTCAGGGATCCCTTGATGCCAGTGTTGGGAGTGGGCAAAAGGTGAGATTGATGACCCTGACCTGGTGAGCACAGTTTTCAAGACAACCCTTTGGGAAATCTTGACCATCAATACTACTAGCCCTACCTTCCCTGGGGAGTTCTCTGGTTTCTCCCTTTACTTCTGGGCTCATCAGACTCCTCTCAGGCTTGGCTTCCATTGCCCTGGGGGCTCTGGCTTCTTGGCGGGCCTGGCTTCTTTGGGGTCTTCCCAGTACAGTCTTCAACTCCTTTCTATCCATACCTCTGCCCCTAGCCAGAGCAGCTGCCTAGTGGGAGAAACAGCAGGCAATCAATAGTCACTAATCACTAATCACTAATTACTAATTAGCCGGGGGAGGGCAGGGGTGGGGATGCCTGTGGGACCCTTCAGCTCTATCCTGCCTCAGGGAAGGATTAGACCTATGCAAGGCTCTCAGTCTAGGCTAACCACAACCCTTGTGCCAACCACTGCCTCACAGCCTCCCACCTCCTTACCCTCCTCAGGCCCCCTAGCTAATCTCTGGCTGGGCCACTTAGGCACGTACGGCCTGGGCTTGGGCCCAGAGCTGCTGGCTGGGATTTGGGGGGGGGGGATCAGGGGCCGCAGCTGGGCCAGGGACACTGGAGGAGGGGGTCTACAGTGACAGTTCCCTTGGGCCAGAGCTTGCAGCCAAGCCTCACATCCTGGATGGGAGGGGCACTGTTGGAAAGGAGAATTTACAGAGGGTCACCGTTGGGCTGGGTGAGGAGCTAGATAAGAGATCCAGGAGGAGGTAACCACAGTGAAGAGATTTGGTCATGAAGCAGAGAGAAGGCAAAGTAGAGTCATTGGGGTCAGGGACCCACACTTGGATTGTGGCAAGATAACCCTTGAAAGACAGCAGGTAAGGGGGTGGGGGTCAGTGATGAAATAATTGCCAAGGAGCTAGAGAACTTTGGATAGAGAGCTCCCCTATAACTCAGTTTAAGCTCGGGCAAGGGGACAATATTAACGTGGGGGGGGTCAGGTCGCAATGGAGAGGTCTTCTGACTTAAGCTCAAAGGGGATCCCAGGATATTCAGTAGGAGGAAGAGCACACCGGGATAGGGAGCCAGAGTGCGGCCTTGAGCACTGGAAATTGGCTTTTTTCCCCTTCTCCCCACGCCTGCCCCTCCTCCACCTCTACCCCGCCCACTCCC